TACTGTGGACGTGGCTGTGGACGTCATCTGGACGGTCGAACCGGGGGTACTGAAAAGTACCGCGCGCGCGACACTTAGTGAAATTTGAATCTACAAGGCGGTTGGATGCATGCCGGCTCGCTTAGGTTAGGGTTCTAATCTCACGTAGGTACCCTACTTCAGCCTCCGGTACCTTCAGAGCGGCGAGCCAGTCACGAGTCGCGAGTCGCGATCCAAAGACTTGAGTCACAAGTCTGCTGGACTACAGACTTCAAAGTTCAGAGCACTCGGGCCAAGTCCCAGGTCTGGTCTGACTCTATGGCCCTCAGGATCTGGACTCTGGAGTCTAGACCCCGCGTGATTTTTCCATCTTTGAACTTTCTGCGCCGACGAAATAAAATACACGAGTTTAAACATCCCTATTAAATTGCCGATCTGCCGTACCTCAGCAATTTTGTGCAGAAAGTGGCGCAAAATAAACGAAATCCACGGTTTGAGTGCTGCTTTTGGCTCGGATTCCGTGGTTGTTCAGCGGATATTAGCAGAAGCTCCTCGAGGAAATTGAAGTTCCTTCCGAGGTTTTGAAACTGGAAACGCAATATGTATACAAGTACACTGAATGTGACAGTTATACACACCGGCTTGCAGGATCGCACTGGTACCGCCGGTAGACTTCACGGTGATCAGTTGTCGGCGGAAAGTGGCCGGTGTGTCAGGAAGAAGGGGCAGAGTGAGCAGGCAAGCGATCGGAAGTCTGTGACCGGTCTTATCAGAACGGTCTGCATGGTCGGTAGTATCTAGGTTGCTAGGTGGTACACTTTGCACGGTCCTCCAAAGATTTGCCTTGCAAAATCTGTTCTGACGTTTTCCGGAGTCCAAGTCAAGTAATCAGAAGTTACCCGTCCACGGTGAGGGCTGAATTAGGTCTACCAAAATTGTGGGCCAAATTTTTAGCGCTGAATTTAAAATACCTGTCCACAATCCTGTCACGGATTTATACTACCTGTCCACCAGATCTTTTGACGGGTCAGACTGAAAGGTTATCTTGTGGACGCCGACCTTGGGTCATCAAATTTTTGCGGCCACCCGGCGCAACGAACGCCGCAGATCATACATGCAAGTCTGGACTCTGCACTGCTGCTACCTTGCGGTTCATCTCATTAGAATTTAGAAGTAACTTCCGATTGTCTAATGTTCTGTACATCCAATTTGACGCCGCCTCCTTACTTGCTATCATTCCAGTCACCTCCATTAATGCACTCAGGAGTTGTAGCCTAAAGCACAGAGCAGCACAGATCAGCACATTTTGGGATTTATGGGAGCTGCGGAACGGGGCCAGCAAGCACTGAGCTTATCCCCGCCTCAGGAGGATGTCAGGCCTTTGGTGACGTTGTGATGAGATCTCTAAGAAGGGGGGCAGAACTGAAGTGCGAATACCTGTCTGAGGCCAAGTACAGGAAAAAGGCTGAGAGGGTGCATCAATCTTGTTGTCAGCTCGCTTATGTTGGCCTGATTTATTGGTCTGAGGGATCAGCAATGGCAGCACGCTTCTCTGCAGTCTGGCGTGCCAGAGAACTGACAAGTAGACTCGCTAACAGTGTTTTTAGTAAGCTTCCTCTCCCCAGTGCCATCTGGAGGTGCTCCAACAATTCTTCTGAAGCTGGTGTGAGAACTTTGAGAGCAACCCATCAGGGTGGTGCTTGCTTTCTCGGATTGGTTTGAACGATTCTCTCTGAGCAGTCACAGCCAGAGCTCTATGACATCGCAGCAACTGCAGCACTTGCAGCTTTTGACGGTGCCGGAACTCCAGGGAACTGGGCAATAGGTAGCTCCTCCATGCTAGCTTCAAGTAGCATTGATAGCACCCCAGAATGCAGCTTCCACTCGAAGGCCCATGATCCAGTCCACCAGCATGGCAAAAAGCTTTGGGGAAACCTGCCAGCCGGGCTCGCTGTGTTGCTTATGCCCGTTGGTCTTCTCACAGCTTCCCAGGTTTGTGGCAGTCTTCCTCAAGTGCTCCCTTCTTCAATCTTGCAGATGTGCAAAGCAGAATTATTCAGTGGTTTGCCGACACCAAACAAACACGGAGTTGCACCAGTCATGCAATTGCTGATCGCTGCTCTTGATCTGGTCTTGTTCGACTCCTTTGAGCAATCATTTCGAGCAATCCCCACCTTAAGATGCCACGAGTAGCTCACCTCGTAGCCTAGACCAAAGCAGGCAACCGAGGTTTGACTAGACCTTGTGGCGCTCAAGTCAAAGTTCTTCCTGTATCAAAATGCACGTGAATCAAGATTGATGTGCTGGCTTTGTAATTCTCTGCTTTGGCTTCACGCTGATTAGGTTGCCCGCTGTGCCGACTCTGATGATGAGGAGGTTCAAATAATGAAAGAGGAAGAAGCTGAAGAGGCGCGCCGTGCTGCTGAGGAAGAGGACGCTAATGACGATGAGGCGCCGCGTGGCGCAAGGTCTGACGATGATGACCCAATCAGTGATGTCGAAGGCAGTGACCCAGAAGATGAGACTGAGCAACAGTCTCGAGCAATTGAGACAGCATACGCCAACTTGCAGAAGGGTGCAACGCAGAAATCCTACGGAGGGGGCACGCGCTACTATAGAGTAAGATACTTTGAACAATCTGCTGTTGGGGGCCACTTTAGAAAGCAAGGTATGTTCTGCTCATAGCTCTATCCAGCCAAGCCGCAGTCAAGGCAGATCCGCACAAACCCGAAAAGTCTACTGATATCCTCGTCTCTATCCACGGTCGAACTTTCAACATGGTGTCAACCTTGTGGCCGATGTCAACCTTGTGGCTTCAGTTCTGATCTGTAGTTGTTCAATTTACCCCAGGCTTACCCTGCTTGATACTTTCTCATAATAATTCCTTTACGCAACCGTTTGCAAAAGTGGTGGGGCAAGCGTACGGGAGGACGGGTCCCCGCCGTCACCTTGTCAGGAGTGGGCAAGTTCGTATTGGCGAAGAAAAAAAGAGTGAGCTACAAGTCACTCTGAACTCTATTGTGACTGGTGCTTTCTCAAGCGTGATAGACTGTCAAACCAATAGATGCTTTGCGCTGCCCGGCCTCCAAATCTTCCTGCGCATCCGGCAACGCTGGACACTTCGAGGGGCAGATGCCTATGTTAGCTCCACATCTGTTGTGCCATCTGCCTTACTTATGAGGCGACATGTTGCAGAGATAGTTTTAAGCCTCACCAATGTCTTGCTGTTATGCAGTCGCACAGTTGGCTTAACAGTCACGTTAAGGCGTTTCAGTGGGCTTATCGAACGTACCCCAGGCGTGCGGACGCAATTGTACAAGACCTAAGGAAGCTCAAGGCTGTACAGAATGTCTTGAAAGCAGCCAAAGAAAGAGACGCGAACCAGTCCAAAGAGTAAGACCTTTCTCTTAAGCACCAACCGTAGTGTTTCCTTGCCTATTTTATAGAGTGATGAGTCACTTCCAGATCAAGTCCCATTCTGACCTATCTGGTATGTCCCTCAGTCTAGAACGAAAGTTGTATTTAAATGAGGGCCATAGGAGACAAGCCACAGGTTTGTCGCATTTCTTGCCGCTGAACTGACATTGTGACGTGACTCCCACGGTGACAAGTTCCATACCAGTTAGAGCGCCCGATCAGTTGTCCAAGGTGGACACCCTTACGTATATGGTAGTCTCCAATTATCCATGCAGGGAGTTTCAAGACCGCCAAAAAGGACTCAGCCAGGGATATTCGCCAGAACAGTACAAGCAACTGAGCAAGTATTGGCTGAACTTTCTGCGCACAACGCGACGTCAACAAAGAGGGGAGCCGCCAGCATCCACAACTATCCATCTTAGGCATGTACTCAAGATCATACTCTCTATTTGTCAGCTCACCTTGCTAGCTCACAGAACATTTAAGTTGTTCCTTCGACATCCATCTGTCCCCGCCACGCCACCTTTTGCATCTCAGACATTTGTTGGTTCCAAGACCGAGGACCTTTCGGTTCTCTTTGTCATAACAGCCTCCAGATCCGTCAGCAAAAGCGCGCGGTCCCGCTTCTTCTGAACGCCCCAAGTTCGTTGATCAGATTTGCGCAAGTACACTTTATTAGAACAAGCATCGACGCTCATCCTTGCTGTACGTTGTGGCAACCGGACCCATCTCTCTCTTCTGAAGGGCGCTCAAGTTGTGACGTCACTGACTGACGTCACATCGCATCGATTGTCCTCTTCACGCAGAACTGACTTCCTCTGGTTGAACTCGGCGTTGGGTCGCGGACAAGACGCTACAAACCGTCAGCTGCCAGACCAGTTTTCCTACAGTCTCCAGTTTGTCGGACCGGACGTTGCAGACGTATTTGCAACGGTGACGCGCAACGAAAAAACCAACCAGGTGCGCGCACCTCTTATGACGAGTCGTGTCTTCACACCTGACCTGCGGATCAGAATTGCAAGCTGCTATGAGCCTCTTTCCAATATGTCCTGAACATGGCCCGCTTCCACGGTCAAGCTGCCGCTCAACAGTTTGTTCACGGTCTCGAAGGTTTGTTGCAAGCCCTCGAAATCAAAGCTTTGGGTTTCCTCTTCTAGAACGGACGTGCTAAGTTCATCGGGGCAATGCGCCACCGCAACGTGATCAACTGTTGCGTGGGAGCCGAGGCTATGCGTAGCTTCTACAGGTTCCATGTGCAAGACCGGGCTGAGAACTCGTGCCCCGACTTCAGCAGTCGAAGAGCTTGGTACGTTGACTACTTTGCAAATGATGCTTATCCCCTGTGATAAGCTAGGTGCTTCACATCTTTTCGTTGCCGCAGAAAATTCTGTCTCCAAGAGTATTCGAGCATGTCATCTTGAAACAGTGCATCTGCGGGCCTGTTATGAGACTTCCAATTCCTTCATTAACAAGCCTTTCTGCATGCTTATATTGCAGGTACGACACTCCTGTAGCTCCGGGACGTGCCACAAAACGAAAGCGCGAGAAAGGGAGTCAGGGAGTCACCTACCAGACATACTACGACTACTTTAAGAAGGCCTTCCAAGCCAACGGTATCACCTCGGACAAGGTGGTGCATGCCGGACGTGGGCATAGAGCTAGAGCAGCTGCGGCAGCCGGGTCAGTAAACCTCCTTGTGCCCCGCTGCGTCCCTGAGTTGATGTGCACACAGTTAGGTGTCATTCTGAAACTCACCTTGCTCAGGACCACCGTCTTCGCTGAGGGTCAATTTTCCCGCTTGTTTTGCACCTGAAGCCGATTGAAGACGACATGGACCGTGACGAGGAGACCACTTTTGAGTGGTTACTTTTACAATCCTCGTTATCCAGAGTCCAACACTTTGGCTACCTCTCTTACACCCTTCTCGACTCTGTGGAGCTTGCAGAGCCAAAGAGAGGGAAATCCAAGGCCTGGGGCAGTGGACGTACGCTCAGTTCGACATGTCCTATTTGACCTCCCTGCCCGCCAAAGCCCTCATCATCCAAGCCGGCTTCACCGAGGACTGGATGGATCGCCGACCCCTGATGCAGACGTACGTCATCCCCCGCTCGCGCGTTCACCCCCCCGAGGAACTCCTTCAACTGGTCTTTCCCTGGTTGGACGAGGCTCTAGTAGTCGTCAAGAAGGTAAGCTAGGCAAGCTCTGATATAATACCATCAGAGCCCGTTGAGACGTGTCGAGGCCGCCTGTCCTTCCAACCAGCTAAGGTGCCCCGAGCACCGCTGTTCCGATATTCGAAGCCCGGAACGCCCGGAGATCCAACGCCCCGGTTCCCCGACCTGCCCCGGGGAACCGAGCCCCTCCATTTGATTCTCCCGACTCCCAGAACGTAGACCTTTAATGTCCCAATTCCCTGACTAGCCCCGGGGAACTGAGCCCTCCGTTCGGTCTTCCCATACCAGAACGGAGAACCCCCCCATCAACTCCCCGACCCAGCCCTGGGGATTCGAGCCCCTCCGTTCGGGTTTCCCGACTGGAATGAGCTCCTCCGTTCAATTCTCCTGTCTGAAACGGAGAAACCTCGGCCCCCGCCTCGCCCCGGTTTCCTGACTAGCCCCCGGGAAACGGAGCACCTTCGTTCAGGTTTTCCCAACCGGCACGGACAACTGACGCCCCGAACGTCTAAACAACCCCGGGGGCTCGGTTCCCCGGGGGGCTCCGAACACCTCAATCGGTTACCCCGACCGTTTCAGTATACCGACGACCCCGGTGTTCAGGCCGACCCCGGGGAGTCCGAGCACTTCCGTCCATCAGATCGCCGAAGCCTCACCACAGTACCCGAACCAACAAGCATTTCTGTTCGCCGAACCACTTATGGGTGCCCCCAGCAGCAAGACCGTCCGGTTCACCTGGGCAACCAAGCACAGAGTACTATCGTCTTGGTCCCCGATCAGCTTCACAAAACGCCCTGAGCATCTTTGAATTGTTCCCCTCATCGGCACTTGATAGAAGCCAGAAGCGAGGAGCAGGTTGAAAGAGGGTCGAGGCAACAAACATTCTGACTTTTCTCCTTCGTTCGGACACGTGTTAATAGGATCGTCGATTTTTTTACAGCGCAATCTCGAGCAACCAGCCCGCATCAGAGACATCGCCGCCGAAGCGTACCTTGTCCGCCCCGGGAAGGAACGGATTATCTTCTTGCAAGATGCAGCGGTGCTGTGGGACGAGTGGAAAGACCTGGTCTTTTACCAGGACCCCGTCTTCTAGCATCCTCTCTGGAAGAAGGTCCGGGACGACGTACTGGAGATGTGTGAAAGGGTCAACGACAATCTGGAGACCGACACCTACCACCTGCCCAGAGAGGTAAGCGCTCTCTTTTGAATAAAAAACTGATGAGCACTCACGTAACGTCCGGAGACGTGTCCTCTTCAAAGTGACCTGTCGTCTTGTATGCAAGATTCTGTCAAAGGACTAAAAACGTGTCATCTCACTTGAAGGCTTGGTCCAAATTGCAACGCTTCAGATGTTCCAGAAGGACCTTCAAAATCAAACTCACGTATGGGAAGATGCTCTGCTCCTGCCGATAAATCAACAATGAAAGCGCGGCATGCGAAACAGTGCCTCGCGAGTAGGTTCAGGAATATGGTCGTGTACCTTCACAGCATGTCTATATTGTCTGCTCAACTTAGTCTGACAAGGCGAGAACGTAAAAAAGCTGAGCTTGTAAGTGCATCCTGACTTCTGTGGCGTCCATGGCAGTCACGAAGCAAGCTGACAGATCTGACGTAATGCGGTTCCTTGGAGGTTTAAATTCCGCTGAACATATGTTGCTGTCCGTTCGCAGGTAGCTGCCGCCATCCGCTCGCAAGAAGACCGCTTGGGCGGTCTTCTGGAGGCTCTTGCCAAAACGAAGGAGCAGGAAACGCGTGCCCAGCACGAGCGCGACGAGGCGCTTTGGGAGCAACTCGACGCTCAGCATACGGATCTGGTCGCACGGCTGACGTCAACCATCCAGGCGCTCGTTGTTCAGCCAATCACTTGCGAAGGTTGCGGTCACCATCAAGCGCGGCCCACAATCCCGGACCTGCTGCCAACTACAGCGGGGACTCCAGCAACGAGCCGTGCTGACGGGGCTGGCCCCTCCGGAAGTGCGAGAGAGCAGGATGAGGCATCGGAGCCACCTCTTCAGCCAAGGTTCCAGTATCTCGACCCCGCTTGCTTGCTGACTGTCAATGACGTGCGGAAAGAGTTCGAAGAAGACGGCCTTGACGGAAGGAAGTCAATAAACAAGATGGACGCGGATGATGAGAAGGCTCAAGTGGCGGAACGAGTTCAAAGTAGATAGAAGACGTCTAGGTGACCTCAAAGTCCTGTATGACGCAGTCGTCGTGCTGGCCAAGCATGAAGGTTCTAGTCGTGAAACCGCAGCTAGTAAGCTGGAAAGTTGGAGACGGAGAGACAAGGATTCAATAAGGCAGTTCTTGTATAAGATTAGAAAGCTCCGAGTGGTAGCCAAGGAAAAGCATGCGACCGCCACTGAGGAAGTGAAGGAGATTAGGATTGAACGGGATTTTGGGAAATTTATGGCGCAGCACTGCCTAGACTTATGATAGCCGAGGAAGAGAAGAAGCATTAGAGAATTGCCAGATGATATGATTTAATTTATCCATGTACCAGCATTAGAGTTTACCAGAACTCGAATTTACTGACCCGTCATGCATATGCAATAACATTGGAAAGCTGCTCGACTCGGCCGGCCATCATGCTTCTTCCATGCGCAATGTTATGTACGAAATTGATTCAGATTGATGATCTCCGGCTGGGCCATTTTTGACGAGATATGACGTCTTTGATCAAGCCCGAGCCTGTTGCAAGAGCTTTATTCGAATTCATGCACATGACACGCCTCGGCGACTCCGATTCCTGGTACGTTGGATGCAAAGTTCGTGCCTCATGCAGTGTCAATGTATTGACGGCGTGCCGGGCACTGGCACGTGGCGACGGCCGCGCATTGCAGGCAGATTGGAGCCGGCGGAACTAGCTTCCGTACGTATATATGTACAACATGCCATGATGATCAGGGCCGGACATTGTAGTTTGCTATAGTACTATAAATGACATATGATATGCTAGAGGGCCCCATTAGCCAGTGACGCTTACACAGATTAGTGGGAGCAAGCTGAAACCGTTCAAACCGTTACAGTCATTTCCAATGTGGCACTCAATTCGGCCCAACAGCGAGCAGGATCATTCCGCTTTCAATGAGCTGAAACGAACGATGTTCCGCTGCCATGATTTTCCATGCTATTTTAGGTCAAGCATAGTCCCAAGTTACCGAGCCTTGTTCCAAGAGTAGCACAGTCCACCCTTGTGTAAAATACTACTTCTCAAGTAGACCTCCTTACGGAAATCCAGTCCAGGGCCCAACCACTTGAATCACGTTTGCAGGAAGCCCTGGCTGGTACGCTTCGACCATGGCATGATGGTCTTCGTTGATGAAGTGGACGGTCAGCGGACGCCTGCAGTTCGGAGGCCAACAAACACGAGACGTGTCAGCACCACTTGCTTCCATGAAAGCGTCAAGCGATCCGCAAGTATTCTGAAAGACATCCCAGCTTTTGAGGTTAGAGCTCTCCCGAAGGTTCTTGACACCGCCCGCAAGTCCACCTCAAATCAACGCTGATCTGAATCTCCATTACACAGGTCCTGTCCAATCTGCCTGGAGTGACTGCGATTAGCAGGACAAAGCTCGATTGAACAAAACTGAGGTAGAATTGACCTGTCAACTTGACACAGTTCACACCGGGAAAAAGATAACTTTTTTAACTTTTAAATTGCGCTTAACCAAAGTGCACGTCTGTTCGGAAACGTTTCTTCCCTTCGAGCTGATTATAAGAAGTAATCAGAGGAACATTCAAGATGCACGTTTGCTCGAGTCTTTCCTCGAACTGCCTGACTGAAAGGTCAAAGCTCCAATTGCGACTCTGAAGGAACATATAGAGGAATGCAGAGTAACTCACGAAGTTCAATTACTGCGCTTTACGTAAAGAGAGACTTCTACGACCGCATGACAGAAAAGTACAGAATCTTTCCAGAAGAAGATTAAGATTGAAAAAGGCAACTCAAGATAGAAACACATGCTGCTTCGAACATCTCAAGACCTTGACATGCGAGCGTACTTGGAAAACTCCCTTGACATCATCTTCAAAGAACCCACCTTGTCCACTCCGGTCGGTTGAGCATGATTGCAAGGATGCGCAGCTTTCCCGCCACTCCTGAAAGCTGCCTGTGTGTGAGGTCAGAGACTTCGCGGCGGATATCGCGGCTGTAGGATCTCGGCGACTGCCATACTCGCTCGAACTGCAAAAGAACACACTAAAGTGTGTAAGGAGGCATTGGGATTATTTGAGCATTTGAGCTCTTTGTTTGAAACTCATCTTGGACGCATGACTACTTGAATACAAGCCTACTTGATCTGCACTTGTTACACTTAGTCTCCCGATCTAATCATTGATAGAGAGGACATCCCAAAACAGAATCCCTGTTGATAGAACGAACAGAACAATTGCTCAGAAAGTACTTCTTCTAGTAAAATCTGCACGACCTGTCTGACTGCGCGATTTGCAGAAAGCTGAGCTCAACAAAACAGGATGCGTCATATTCAAAAGTCTGTAGTTAAATGCACAGTTCCAATAAAAGGCAACACTATCAAAGAACCTTTAGCTTGCAAAGCGTCAGCTTCGAGAATATTTGAAAGGACATCTTTGCTGGAAACGACGACTGGTTCAGATAACAAGAACCCAAATGTGCAGCTTACTCTCATAGCCTCCCTCTGTGAACTGAAACCATAGACGATGGCCACGAACCGTAGAGGCCGCATGGCTGCAGTTGTGGCCGGCCCTCCAGTAATCTCTCCGTTGTGGCATTGGAGGCGCCGGGTAGGGTTGTGAGTGTACCTGCCGTTCAAAAGCAGTAACATGGGCCGAGTTCAGAACGGGCCTGCACCCTTTTATCTAGCCGTAAGTATTTTAAAATGCCAATGCTATATGCACTAGCAGATGTGATGACAGTTCAGGCTCCGGTGTAGTGTCCTTGCCTCGTCCTTGCAACCATAAGTAAGTGAGGTAAATGGCTAGTGACGTCGCAGTCAGACTTTTGGTTATCAGCGTTAAGGTGAGACAGGAAATCGTAAAAAGGTCAGACATGATAGACCGGAGAACAGTCACATGCACTGCAGATGTGCTGAAAAAGCCCAAAAAGTATGCAGCCAATCACAACCAAGCGTGCACTCAGCGACAGTTGTCAACTTAACCAGAGAACTCTGATACAAAAACAACATTGTCAGGTGGACACATGAATCACAATGTGGCCAGTATTAGGACTTTCCTTGCATTTCTGTCCAACTAGGGGCCTCAGACCTTAATACATTTCTTAGCTCCAAATGGGCCACCGCATCATAAGCAATGAGAGGGTTGTTGCTTTGGGCTTCAAGCAACCTCCTACTGAAATCCTCAGCTGCTGAAAGCCCTTCTGATTCAGGGGAGCCTTGGCAGCTTATCAGCTCATTTGCTTACCCATGCTTACCCATGCAATATGAACACAAGCTCAAACCTACTGCCAAAAACAGAATGGACACCAGGCAGAGATGGAAGCACTCACCCAATGTAAATCTTGCGACCATACCGACTAGCATCCGTCGTCTCCAAGAGGTAACATGCCCAGTGACGTGTGGTAAAATCAGCCATTGCTAGTAGCTCTTCCCTTGAAAAGTCCTGTAGCTGTGCAGAAGTTTGACACATTCAGCACAGCAGCTGATCAGCTAATTCAGCTACTGAAACACGGGCTTTGACAGACAAGAATTCTTATGCACGGTGTAAACCTGCTCATACTAAGCATGGCATCCTTGTGACTTTCCTGACGACCTCTGAAGATTGCATCCCTGCGCTTCAAGCTGCAGTTGACCTTATAATGGGGCCGGAAGGCAAGGGCTGGCAGACTCTGACAATAAGGAGGACAGTTGGCAGGCGCCATGGTCTCTGAATCAGTTGGTGGAGGTTGGGAAGCTAGGAATGGGGTACTCCAAGTAGGCTTTCCCCTTGAGATGAAGGGAACCTGCTTGCTTGTCTGAAGATTCTTTCAGGGGGGAACGGCAGAGTTAACGAGGGGGTGCCGTTTCTGCCTGGTAACGCCTGAAACCGGCAGGCTCCACACCGAAATTCGCTTTTAGCGGTACCGTCCACGCGGCGTCCGCTACGGGTCGGTACCGCACGGCAGCACCGGCGGTACCCGTCCACGCGGGCGTGTCCACGGGGACGGGGACCCGTCCGCGCGACCAAAGACTCCGTCATTTTGTAGCCGGTACCCCCCCATAATTGTATCGACCATTTTTGGCATGCATCCATTTTCTTGCTGTCCAGTGTGCGCCCCAAATGCGCGCGAGCGTACGCGTTATTGAAAATGGCGAAAGCCTTCGTTATGGAACCGTGCAAAGCCACAGTACGACGTTGGAAATGGGTGGCGACTCCGCCCTGTGTTTTCTCCGGCGTTTGGCCGCCGCAGTACCCTTAAAGATGGCGTGTTTCTGGGCGCGAGAAGATGGCGGCGCGATCGCATTTTCAGGAACTTCACTCAGGCATTGTAAAACTGGTGTACGGTTTTGCAGTTATGCTCCTCGCCCTGAAATATCGGCTCCCCGTTTGGCACCGGAAAGTTTGTACAGCATGTTCTGACTCGTTTGTCGTATTCTGCACGTCTAGTCGGTCGGCCGACTGTCGCAGGGCGTACAATTGGGTTTCGCACGTGTGTTAAGTTGTCGCGGACCGTCGATTGTAGTTCCGGTCTGTTTCAGGGGGTACCCCTGTCGTCTGGAAATGGTTTTCGTTTAGGTAGTGTCAAGACCTTAGGCTTAGGTGCGGAGGCGGCCGGTGGTCCCGGGCAGGCAAATAAGTCGCCGGGCGGCCATTGTCCTGGCCGGATACCGGTACGTTATACTGTATACGCAGAGTGCAAGCCGTTAATTTACATGTAATTTTAACTGCCAAATCTGTCGACAAACGTCCATCACCAGTCCGTTCGGATTGTGTAGGTACAAACGCAATAGTTTCAACCAGCTAGTTCAGTTCCTCACCGGCGGGCCGCAACCCTGACAAACCTTGAGCAAACCGGCAAAGATCACAAATTCATAAGAACTTAATTACTGCAAATCACCTACAATAATACATCATAGCTTCTGTAACTTCTGATAAAATATGATCAAATGGCATGCCGAGTGCAGCATATCGTGCTGCCAATCTAGTTGAAGGGGGTGTTTCCATAAGGCCCAGGGGGGCCTCGGCTTCGCCGCGGGGTCCCAAGCCCCCCCCCCTCCCACCCGGCGGCATGTAAGGGGACGTCGTCCAGCCAAAAGTAAACGCAAAGATTTTGCAAGGGCTTTGATAGGGCTTTTTGATAATGCACCGCATACGGTATACCGTATATCGCTCGGTTTGTGCACGCTGTGAGCCCCGCAGGGCCGCTTTCAAGCAACTTCGGCCCTTTCTTGACGCATTTTGGGGCAGACTTCGTACCAATATGATCAAGAAATGTGGACAAAGTCTAGTTATAAGGGGTTTAAGGGCGACTCCTCTCATGGGGTCCCAGGTGGTCCCCCCCAGGGACCCTCACTCTCAAACACTGCGCTGGGTCCCCCCCCCCTCCGACCCAGGTTCTGCATTTTGGTCCAGAGCCCCCCACCCCCCTAGAATTATGGGGGGGTACCACTTACAAAATGACTCTACCCTTAGTACCATCTATGAAGGACAGATTGCAGGGCCCACATCCGGCATGCAGGGTCCGGACAACTGAGATTCATGCGGTCCCAGCGGCAATCACAAAGCGTGCGTATCAGGGCCGCCCATAAGAACGCCTTCAAAACACTTTCTATTAGCAGGTCGGAGGGTTTCACTTTTCGATGTTTAGCGTCTTTTCAGAAAAGGATGACTATCATTAGGAACGGCAATAAACAAACTGGTCTAGCCTACTTAAACGGCTGCAATGAATAGCGTGCACAGTTGGTCCAATTATAAGCTGTCTAGCCGTAGACAATCGAGACAGGCTGTCAATAACGTTTTCAATATTGTAAGCTACATAAGTTAGCGAATAATCATTTCGACCAGTCATTATACCGTGTGCTAAGTCCTATAAATATTGTTCACAACTGTAAAGAATGTAAACTGATTGGCCAAACGCGTCTACGCAGTCAGACCTTGCAACTCGCTCCCACTACTTACAAGACGTCCTGCAACTATGGTAACATTTCAAGTCCAAGCTAAGATTATCTCATCCAAGTGGTACGCCGCGCACAGCCGCACAAGCATCATTCTCCTAACCGAACCCCCTAAGGTAACTGCAACTTTCTTATTCCCTGCAAACCCCTCGCACCGATCCGTTTCGCCACTTCGAACTCCACCCTAAATCTCTGTACAGACCCCCGCCAATCGCTCTGAATTCCTGCCCCGAAACCCTCAATACACTCGACCCGAAACCTCCCCATCCTCGCCAAAATCCCCGCTGCAGACCCTCACCAAAGCCGCTAAGATTTACGAATCCTCGCAAAACCCCTCGCTGAACCCTCAACCGCCCAGATCTCGCCAGTACGCCAGAACCGAACCCTGTCTTCATTTCTACAACTCGCTTCCCCCCACGCTGCGAACATCATTAAAAGCCGCCCTAAAGTCTCTGGGCCCTCGCAAAGCCGCCTCTCGCTAAACCCCGAAAGGTCACGCGGCCGCTGTCGCGCGCGGAAGCCGGCTCAGCCTCAGGGATATGCCGAACATCGCCTTTTGGAGCGCGGCCGCGGTGGGCCGCCGCTCGGGCAGCGTGTGCCAGCAGCGCTCAACTAGCGCCACCAGCTCTGAACCGTACACGTAGATCTCGGACGGCCACGTGTACCGCAGCCCTTCGTCGAAATGGGAGTGGAGGGCCTGAGAAGAAGGAGGAGACCTTAGAAATGGACGCGGACGAGTCACCAGATTCAAGCAACACTGCCCAATGTAGGACTTCGAAAAACGCGAAGCTTAGACCATTGTTAACGAGGCGACTTTGCGAGCCATTCTTCACAAGAAAAGAGGATCGTCAACCAAGTCCGGGTTTTACTTAGATGCCCTTTTACGACAGCTGAGTGAAAGCGGTTGTTTTGTCTTTAACCAGGTTCGGTTAAAAGCCAAACCTTCCTGTGCTTGCAGCCCTGTTACTAAATAGATACGGAGCGCGGTGGAACGAGGACGAAGCACGAAGTAGACGAAGGAGATTGGGGATGACTAGAATATGAGAACGAGAGAAAAGGAGGTGGAAGGACGTGCCAGGGGAGAAGAATGAACCGGGCGAGACTACAAGCAATACGGATGGAGAGATGGTAAGACACACGGGAGATAGGTAGATGGAACGAGGTTGAAGGAGATCAAAGTGCGAAGGAACTCCAGCACAGCTTCCAAAGGAACGACGAAGCAATTGGAGGACCGTCAAATAAAAGCAGCGCCGCTGACCTCGGTGTCCGAAAACTCCAAGCACGGCTGCGTTCCCGTCAGCAGATTGTGCAGGGTGACGCCAGCGGCGAAGATGTCGGAGGCGGAGGTGTGGCAGAGCTCCACGTGGACCTCCGGGGCGATGTAGCCCTGCGTGCCGCATTGTACACACGGTTTTGAGAAAAGACGTGAGCTACGGATTGAGCGACACCGTAAACGTGCGTGCGGGATGAGAAGTGAGGCTACTGCAAATGCTCAAGCAGATACGAACCATGTTCATGGACTTCTGACATGCTTGTCCAAATATATTTGCGAGAAGGAAGTTCAGATTGATGGAGAAACCTAGGAAGCAGCCACGACTGCGGTAAAGTGCGCAGAGATCCCTTCCAGTGAAAACAACTTTGAGTCTCAGTTTCACAGGTGATAGATTTGGGAATCCGAAGACTCTGCAGACGATTTTAGAGCTTCGATCAGAAGTTCCTTCCCATGCATGTCAAATGGCTTGACCAACGAAATTGTGCAAGAGAGGGAGTCAGCTGGTGGTGTTCCCACGTCGCCGCCCCGTGCCGCCTCCTCGGCTGAAGTCACCAGTCCGAAGTCCGCCAGCTTGGCGACCCCGTCCTTGGCGAGAATGTTCTCCGGTTTGATGTCCCTGCGCGGAAAAAGAAGACTGGTCAGACTTCGGCTGTCTCCTCATCAAACCTGCATTTCTCCAACGGAAGCAGAGGAAAAAGCAAATCACATGCGGACACGGACTCGAAGATGAGAGACGGTTACAATTCAGACTCGGACGGTGAGAAAAGTGGGAACCAATGATCATTGTGAGGGGCAGTTAAAACTGTGCTGACATCTAACACAGACGCATTGCGCTGTCTACATCTGCTCTTCCGTCTTTTCAAACGAAACAGAAACGAAGACGGGATATTGAGAGGCATACAATTGCCAGGACTGTCACGCATGTCTTCCAGCTTCGTCTCCACCAGTGCCTTCTTAAACCAGTATCAGGACCCTGTCTCGAGTCACATTCAAACCCGTTGCATTCTATGCAGTATTCAAAATGCTTCCGGCTCGCTTTAAGAACCATTGGTTTGCTCACCGGTGGATCAAGCCGCGCTCTTGCAGCCACGTCAGCGCGCCCGCCACGTGCCACATGTAGCGCGCGATCTCGTACAGGCGGGCGGGGTTGAAATCGGGGGTGGCTCCGGCGACGCTCCAGTCCGGGGGGGAGTTCGCGAGCTCGAACAGCAGGCCCAGCGCCCCCTCATACAGAGTGTAACCCTCGAAGCGGATAATCTGTGGGCAGTCGCGGCACCGGATGAGGTTCTTCGCCTGCAAATCGAAGGAAGGAGAACGGCGTCAAGTATTCCGAGAGGCTCCCAGTTTGAAACGAGTGCAGTTGTACGAACTTTGGTGCTATGGTGTCTCGGAACTTGACCTAAGTCAGGTTGACTTTTATGGTTGGTGTCTTTAGAAGATTCTGATCCTAGTGTTTCTTTGGACAAAATACGACGATGCTTTTTCACAGAAGCCAATCTGCAGTCATTTTGAGTGACATCTGGAAGACCCATCGGAGTTTTCTACCTTTCAAGGTCATGTTTTCACGAAGCCAAGTTCGACTAAGGCTACGCAAACGGCCAAAAGACGTTAAGCACAACCCTTATCTTAACATTCACGCGCTTTGCGCCTGTACCTGCTAAAAACTGCCACTCAGGCCCTTGTTAGTGTCAGAGAGAATGAACCGAGGAGAGAGCCTACGGAAGTCTTCTTGCTCACCTCCAGCATTGAGCCCTGGAACAGGAACTTGGCGGCCAGGAAGCAATACTCGCCCTGAGAATCGAAGCCAGTGGCGAGGCAAACGATCCCTTGGCCCCCCTGCGAAAGATAATGCACAATGTCAATACAGAGCTGTTGCAGTTGGGGCACTCCTGGAGACTTTGAATACTCCGTCGATTTTCAAAAGATGCAGATTGATTCCACTCGGTCCCAGCATATCGTTACAAGAGCCTTCGTTTTGGCAATCTACTTGAAAAACAAACGAAAGTGGCTCTTCGAATCAGCGCGCACACGCTCGGCATGACTTTGGCGCAACCGGAAGAGGATTGATCTGAATTTCAGAACAGTGCTTTTCCAACAGATTAAGTCATACGGCAAGGGGAATACAGCTTCTTGGAAAAGTCGGCAGTCGAAAGTCTTAAGCTCACCTTGCCCAGCAATCGCAGAAACGACATGTTCGAGTAATACTCGAGGCCAGCTGCTGCCAGGAAGGCATGCTGGTCCTCCGCCGGCTCCTGCAAGCAAAAACGAAACAGATTAAGATACTTATTCTTTCCCAATCCTAATGCACAGCAGGAACAGATTGAGTTACTTTTCTTTCCCAGCTTTCCCAGCCTTCCCAGTTCCAGCAAGATCCTCCAGAAGATTGACAATGTTGCAGGCTGAAACTCAATCAAAGTATTCCACTAAGCAGAACCTCGAAAAATTCACATCCTGGAAACTTGCAACAAGATGTCTTTCAAAACGGTGGCCCCTTGTAAAGTTGCAATTGTGGTTTCTTTTTAGGCCATTCCTACCCTCAGATCCAACCCCTCTGTCTTCGTTATAAATCTCTTCATTACAATTAAACTTCATAATTCTGATCACTGAGTGGGAGCTTTTGCTGACCTGCGGCTGCAGCCACGCCTGCACCAGCGCCGTGTCGCCCCCCCTCCGCCACCGGGAGTCCCCAACCTCCTCATCAACCAGGACACCCCCCATCTCCTGATCCTCATCCCCCTCGCTTACGTCATCGCTCGTGACCGTCTCCTCCGTGTCGCTGTAAAATGAATACAGCAGATGCTGCTCGGATGGCGAGAGCGCGACGGCCGCCAGGACGTCGCTACCAAGGAGTGCCTCAAGCAAAACTACTGTCTCTGCTAGCGGGGCGGGGCAAGGAGAACTAGACTGGGCGCCTGGGGCGCGCGGGCTGGGCGTAGGGAGCGCCTCCAGGTCAAAGTCAGGGCCGGAGAAGACGCCGAACCTGGGGGGAGTGCTCTCCGGGGGTGCGAACGCGTCGTCGCTGAACAAACCCACCCCGAGTAGGGAAACCTCGAGGGGGCTCTCCTGCGCCCTGCAGCTGTCCCCCTGGTCGTGTGCGTGGCTGCTCGGGGGAGGGACTGAGACCAGGGGGGCAGCGGCGGGGGGGCAGGGCGCCACCTCTGAGGCCCTGGAGGATGCTACCTGGAAGGAGGAAGATTTGAAACTGATGAGTCAATCTAGCAAATTGAGAAACCTCGAGAACAGGGAAGAGGTGTCTTCATCAAGAAGCAAAGAAATTGGGTGAATAGACACACGCGTCGTTGGCCATCGTACTGTTTTGCAATGCAGGATCTGTCGCGAGCGAATCTTAGCTTCCTGATTGCCAATCAAAGACAAGTTGAAAATTCTGTTCTAGACAACGTTGACAAACTCTTTGAAAAAATGATCATGAGAAGTGTGACATTGTGATAAACTTGCACCTTGGCATATCATTCACAACCAGACACGTGTAACACAAGCAAAGAGAATCGACAATGAACAAAACACTTAAAAAGTATGACCTTATCTTCTACGTAATGCAGAAAGTCTAGTAGCAATGTAGCAGCCGAATGGTGAATCGATAGAAATGACCAGCATCAGGACATATATATTGAACAAAGGGATGGCAAGCGACACAAAACACTCTTGCGTGCTTTGCCATCTGCGTGTGCATCACATGTTCTTGAAAGCTTTCAGCAGATACATCTTCTGCAATAGAGAACAGAATACAAACTACCTATGAGGTCATATTCCCGCCAGATTCTGTCGCACCTCACCTTGGTAGAACAAACTTCACACTAAGGGACACTCTACGTCAAAACAAAAGCATGCTGTTTTGCTGTTTCTAAATTTGCTCACCTGCTGGTCAGCATACTCCGCAGGGTACGCAGGGCTCGCCTGCTGTCCCTCCTCCTCCCCTCCTGGGAGACCCTGCTCCACCTCTGCTCCCTCCTCTCCCTCCTCCCTCCCCTCAAACTCCTCCTCTCCCGCAATCTCCTCCCCCTCCACTGTCTCCTCAATCCCCTCCTCTCCCTCATCCCCCCCTAGAAACTCCTCCTCTCCCTCCTCCCCACCAACCTCCATCACCACCTCCTCCTCCCCCCCCTCCTGCTGGCAGAGCTCCTGCCCCCCCTCCTCATCTCCGAGAAGTCCTTGCAGGGCCCCCAGTGCAAACCCCCTCCCCACCTCCACCAACAGCTCGTCAATTGGGAGATCATCCCAGCTGGTGACTGTAACGATTACGACTGGTTAAGCCTAACCTCGTTCTCGACAGGATTTCGTTGACCGCGAGTTAGCGAAACGGCGGTGGTTACGTCTTAACGACGCACTGCGCAGCTGTCTGCAAGACGGCGTAATATCCCGGATGGATCGGCTTCAGTGAGCCGATGTCACCGTTCAGGATACGTT